CACAAGCTAGCAGAGGGTAGATTTAGGTTAGACATCAGAAGGCGCTATTTCACGGTCAGGGCGGCTAGGGTCTGAAACCAGCTTCCAAGGGAAGTGGCGCAGGCTCCTACCCTGGGGGTTTTTAAGAAGAGGTTAGATGAACACCTTGCTGGGGCCGTTTGACCCCAGTACTCTTTCCTGCCATGGCAGGGGGTCGGACTAGATGATCTTCTCAGGTCCCTTCCGACCCTAGAAACTGTGAAACTATGAAACAGGCAAGGCCAGCTCCCTGGCAACACAGTTAGGAGAGGAGGTGACTAGCCAACAGTGGTGAAAGAACAGGTTAGGGACTATTTAGAAAAGCTGGACATATACAAGTCCATGGGGATGGATGGGATGCATCTGAGGGTGCTGAGGGAGTTGGCTGATGTGATTACTGAGCCAGTGGCCATCATCTTTGACAGTGCATGGCAATCAGAAGTCCTGGATTATTGGAACAGGGCAAATATAGTGACCATATTTTAAAAAATGAAAAAGGAGGATCCAGGGAACTATTGACCAGTCAGCCTCACTTTAGTCCCTGGAAAAATCATGGAGCAGATCCTCAAATAATTCATTCTGAAGCACGTGGAGGAGATGAAGATGATTAGGAACAGTCAGCATGGATTCCTCAAGGGCAAGTCATGCCTGAGCAACCTGATTGCCTTCTATAACAAGATGACTGGCTGTGTAGATGCAGGGAGACCAGTGAATGTGGTATACCTTGATTTTAGCAAGGCTTTTGACACGGTCTCCCACAACATTCTTGCAGGCAAGTTAAGCCAGTAAGAACGGTAAAATGAATAGAAAACTGACTGAAGCATCGGGCTCAGAGGGTAATAATCAATGGCTCAATATCTAGTTGGCAGCTGGTATCAAGTGGAGTGCCCAGGGGGTCAGTCCAGGCACTGGTTTTGTTCAATATCTTCATCAATGACCTGGAAGATGGGATGGAGTGCACCCTCAGCAAGTTTGCAGATCACACCAAGTTGGGAGGAGTACTAGATACATTGGAGAGTAGGGCTAGGATTCAGAGTGACCTAGAAAAATTGGAGGATTGGGCCAAAAGGAATTTCATGAGGTTCAACAAGGACAAGTGCAAAGTGCTGCACTTAGGGCAGAGCAGTCCCATGCACTGGTACAGGTTAGAGGCTGACTGGCTGGGAAACTCTGCAGAAAAGGATTGGGAGTTACAAGGGATAATAAGCTGAATATAAGCCAACAGTGTGCGTTTGTTGCCAAGAAGGCTAATGGCATACTGGACTGCATTAGTAGGAATGTTGCCAGCAGGTCAAGGGAAGTGATTTTTCTCCTCTTCTCAGCACTAGTGAGGTCACATCTGGAGTACTGTGTTCAGTTTTGGGCCACCCACTACAGAAAGGAAGTAGACAAATTGGAGGGAGAGGCTGAGGGACCTGGATTTATTTAGTTTAGAGAAGAGAAGACTGAGAGGGGATTTAATAGCAGCCATCAACTACCTGAAGGGGTTGAAAGAGGGTGGAGATAGACCAGGGATGGGCAAAATATCGCCCGCAGGCCATATCTAGCCCACCAGGCCATTCTATTCATCCCACAGGGCTCCTAAAAATTTAGAAAATTAATATTTATCTGTCCCTGGCTGCCTGTCAGATGACAGGAACCAGGGGCAGTAGGACACGGGGGAGCTGGCAGCAGAGCTAAACAGCTTCAGCAGCAAGCCTGACCTTCTGCCTGGCCCAAGTCTGGGCTCTATGAAGCTGGGCTGGCTCCCTCTTCTCCCTGCTTGAGCAGTGAAACCAGGTTCCATAAAGCCCTTGGTAACCCGGACCCCATGCTCCTGCCACTCTGCTCTGGGCCCTGCCAGCACTGGTCCCAGTGCACCAGTACAGATCACATGCTCCTGCCTGACTGTCACTACACTCCACATGCCCACTTGCTACCCCTTCCTCCCGCTTACCACTGCCATTTTCCCATTCACCATGTGCTGCCCGCCACTCTCCGGCATCATGTGGTTCCCAGCTGCAGCGCTCAGACCACAGGAGCAGCTGGGACATGGTGCTAGAGCAGCAGGGGAGACAGGGATGGGGAAGTGGCAGGAGAAGGGCAGCAGTGGCAGACGGGGCAAGTGGCAGTGAGTGGGAGCATGGAGCCTGTGCTAGTGCCCTGGGGCCAGGAGCAGCAGGAATGCAGAGCCCAGGCTTGCAGGAGCATTGGTGGGGGCTCTGCCTTCCATTAAATACACCTTCCAAATTCCAAAGGGAATGCAAGTACCAATGCATATCTTACAGGCTGAAAATCTTTTAGTTTAATGTCTAGACCATGCCTGTAGAGGTCAAAATGGGGAACTGTAATTACAAAGTGCCCAGTTTTTCAGACAAATAAGCATTTTTGTATGTTGCAGATTCTCAAGTTTTCTTGGCTTGCTTTAGAGTCCTTTGCAAGTTGTGGTTCCCACTATAAAGTTTTCCATAATTATCGATATCAGTATTATTTCTGGGTTGGTACTTGTAATTGTAAGTAAAATGAGTGGCTTTAAGCACTAGGAAAGGTTTTGGTGCAGCAGAAGATGCCAAAGGAATTATTGCTGTTTACCAAGATTATGGGGTATCAGTTCTTTTAACTTTAGAGAGGAAATTAGCCCTATCAGTCTGGAGTCAGGCAGGACATAAGGCATGCTGGCACCTTGGAGGCTAACTGATTCAAGGGAGCATGACCTTTCACAGGCGACAGGCTACTGCTGTTAACATTAGAAAAGGAGCAAGGTGCAATCAGTTGATACAAGCAATATTATGTGGCATAGCAGAAGAGGCAGAGGCCACCCTTACTGGGCTTGTAAGCTAGCACTGGTGGTAACAAGATATCCTCAGGAAGACAAGGAATGTGATTTTGGCTAGGACTTTCCCCAGGGTGCAAGGTAGCAGAGAAACTCCATGCCTCTCTTTCCCCCGTATCCTTTCCCAGCATAGCACCTGAACAGGGTTTGCCAACATCTGGCCCTGCACTTTCAAAGCAAACAGTTTCACTTCTGTTAAAAAAATAGTTTAAATCCACACATACTTGAACAAATACAGATGAATAATTAGGCATCAGGCTGACATCAGATCCCAGTAGGAAAACAATTGTTGAGCTGCCACATTATCCTTGTACAGTACAGATGATGATAGATCTGGGATTTGAAGAGATTTCTTCTTCCAGAAAAAACAATCATTTTGCAGTGTTAGCTCTCTAAGCAATAAAGTGTAGCAAAATATATGAGCAGGATTACTAATTATGCTACATCAAGCAGTTCCATTACTTAATAGTTAGACTGGAATGGTATTGTACAGCAAAACATGATGCATGCTGCATGTGTATAGCCTTTACTGTTACAAGAAGTATAAACATACATGGAACAGCTGAATACTTTGACAAACCTATACCAGCTCTTAAGAAGCAACAAAATGTTACATACTAACTGTGTGCATCACATCTCTGACATTCACAGCTGAGGGGAAAGATTTACTTGCAAATGTATGAGTCACAAAATTCTGATAAGGGTGAGCTTGACTGATCATAAGAGCACAAGAGCTCACATGCAAGAGAAATTTTGATTATGAATCTCCACGTCCAATATTTTCATGTGCATCTGAGAGTTGCTCTTCCTTCCTGGAGATGGGAAAGAAAATAAGGAGGATCACCAATGCTGCTGTTTTCTGAGGAACTACATGCAAAAAACCCAGCCATCTTATCACAACAAAAAATTCAACCAGCTCTAGGGAGTGGGGTAAATAAAAGATGCCCTACTATTAAGGTGTTGTATGAAGAGCCAGACTACAAATAGCAGACAACTAAGTTGCAAGTTACCAAAAATACATACATGCACAGAAGGGCCCTGTTTACAGTACACCTAGGAAAACTTAACAATGATTTTTTTTTATTTTATGCATTTAATATATTATAGCAACAAAATACATCCTTAAGGTTAAACATCAAAATGCTTAACTGCTTTGGAAACCCAGAGCCAAGAAATAGCTCAAGTTTAAAAGCAACTTACTCTGGTTTGTTTAAGAACAGTTACCTGTGTGTGCAGGCCATTAAGAAAAGGAATACAGAATATTAAAAATCTTTGGCTGCGTTTTAAGTCAAAGTTAAAAGTAACTATCGTAATTATGGTTTCTTTTTTCTCCAGCCCAGATTCTTATATTTGTAATAAATAAATAAATAAATAAATAAATAAGGGTGAGTCTTTTGCAAGCAGAGTAGGTCTTGCATTGTTCCCTTGCCTAATAATGACCCTTCTTTCCTCCTCTAAATTCAGATTTAAATAAACAAATGGGGACAGTTTGGAAAAGGTCACACTTGAGCACTTAGCAATAGCTGGGAGGAGACTGAAAGAATATTCCATTCCAGTGGAGGAGAGTATCTCCTCTTGCTCCTCTGAATCACTTGCCTGAGCCAGAGACAGTGGTGATGTACTCCTGCAGGAGCAGAGACAACTTGACTGTAATGATGAGAAACAGAATGCAACCCAAAGAACAACCTTGCTCCCATAAACAGGAATGAGCAACACTGATATCTTCATTAAGCAAAGTAAATCTTTCTCCTTCTCCTTTGATCTCTTTGGTTTGAGTTCAGTGTAAACCTACGTGCACAGTAGCTTAACCTGAGGAGTCCTCCATGTGTCCCGTCTTTCCCATACCTGACCTGTATTGAAGACATACGTTGTAAGTTTGTTTCTCACTTTTCATACTCAGCTAGCAGTTTTTTAATTATTTTGTTTCTATAACTATTAAGGCCTGGAATACTGTCAAAAGCTCTCAGAGATGTTTCCCATTGCAATGTATTCACAATCACACAAAGCTCTCTGTTTTAGCTTCTTATTCTTTTCCACGCTTGTTTTTTTAATTAGGAAAATGGTATCACCAGGTAAGTGTCACACTTTTAGCTTCTTTCTTTCCTTGGAGATCTCAGAACAACTACGGAGTCTCTTTCTGGCTGAAGAAGGGTGCTTGTGCCCCAAAGGTTGCAAAGAACGTTGTTCCAACTACTCAGTGGGTCTAATAAAAAATATCACAACTACCCAAAGAACCTTGCCTGTTAACAGTATCCAAAACTCACTAATTGTCATCTTCATGCTGCTTTTTCTGTGCACAGAGGTAATTTTTAATGCCATTTTCCTTCATGTTCACTGATAAACTTGGTCCCTGTGGGGTACAGTATTAATGCTGATAGCTTTTAGATGGCTCAGATTGTAGAAAAATAGGAGATATAAATCAAATTAACTGTAAATCTCTATTCTGTAATGCCTGTTACAGTGACAATGAATTCTGGTTGCTAAGGTAAGTTTTTCTTCTTCTGTTTTACTTCACTGTTAATTCTCCAGCTAAATGAAATACAAATTTAGCAGCATAGGTATGAAAATACCCCCTAAATATGGTTTCCCTGAACCATGGCAATGCTTTTGTTACAGAGCAAGTAAAATGTACTAGGGTTGTGCAAGGCTTCGGACAGAGCTTTGGATCCAGAGAAGTTTGGGACGCTTCGGGGTCAGAAGCAGCACACTCAGGTCGAAGAGCTGCCTTGTTCGGCTTCCCGAAGTGCTTCTGAGCCACCTCGGAGATCCGGCCATAGAGTATAGTGGGGAAACAATAAAATATTTATAACTTTGTTGTTTTTTGTCCAATTTGAATGAAATTTCAGAGGCAGTAGACTCTGCAGAGAAGATGAAGCTTACCAAGTTTCAGTAAGATCAGTTCACGAGTTTTGGAGAAACTGTACCCCAAATTCTTGAAAGCAAAACTCATGTCACGTCTAGGCGTTACAACACAGCGGTGTGAAAACTGCAGTGGTGGTAGGTCTTACTGAGGCCACAAAGCCTGCCAAGTTTCAAGAAGATCAGTGCAGGGGTTTGGGGGGAACTGCCCCACAAGCTGCAGACAAGCAAAACTGGTGCCATGGGTGCTTGTGGGACTGACTGTGTCTGTCTTGTGGCGGGGAGGGGACACACTACTGCAGGCCTGGCTGCTGAGCTGCTGTGTTACCTGTTACCAATCAATCATGATTTACCCAGGGACCAGCTCAATACACAGAACCTAGCTACTACACAATGACTTACCGAGCATCAATGAGCACCTACAAAACCAGGCTAAGGAGAGGAAAGACTCAATACAGACAATCAGCTGCCCCAGGACAAAGACAGTCCTGGCACGAGTTTTGCCTGTCAGCAGTGAGGGGTGCAGGGCCCCAGAATCCCCCTGCACCCATCTCCTCCACAGCTGGCAGTCTTCATGGACTCAGCAGGGGCCACCATCCCTGCAGCTGTCACCCCGCTGCGCCTTAACACATGCAGTATCACCCATGGCACCAGTGTTGCTTGTCCGCAGCTTGGGGTGCAGTTCCCCCTGAACCCCTGAACTGATCTTCTTGAAATTGGCAGGCTTTGTGGCCTCAGTAAGAGCACGGGGGGGGGGGGGGGGTTGACTCCCCCATGGTGTGACACAGAGCCATGACATGAGTTTGGCTTTCACTAATTTGGGGTACAGTGCCCCCCAAACCCTTCCACCGATCTTCTTGAAATTTGGCAGGTCTCATGTTCTCAGCAGAAGCTACTATCCCTGCATGTTTCATCCAAATCAGAGAAAAAACAACA